AAAGCAGGGAATAAAAAGTTTGTTACAAAAAAAAAAAAAGAAATAAAAAAAATCTTTAAAAAAAAAAAAAAAAAACATAGGAAGAGAGGGCTAGAGAGATGGCTCAGTGGTTAAGAGCACAGACTACTCTTCCAGAAGACCTGAGTTCAGTTCACAACCATCTGTAATGGGATCCAGTACCCTCTTCTGGCCTCCAGGCATACATGTAGATAGAGGACTCTTATATAAAATACATAAAATGAAATAAATCTTAAAAAAACAGGAAGAGATAGGAGAGTGGGTGAACAGAAACCTAAGTAAATAAGTATGGGTTTCAATGTTATGAATTGTTTCTAATGTTCTGTTTTGTCATAGATGACATCATTTTATTTTGTTGAACAATCAGGGATAAGTTCAAAGAAAAGTTTTCTTTGGGTGTGTGAGGCCCAGTGCTGAAGTCAGCACTGGGCAGGGGAATAAAGAGAAGAAAACATCTTGTTCATTATTGTTTGCTAAGGAGAAAAATTAATGGGTTTTGGGTTTTATTTGGCATATGGCATTTAAAATCAAATTTAGGAGGCAAGCATGATGGGGTACACCTTGAATCCCAGCACTCCTGGTGCAGAGGCAGACAGATCACATGTTTAAAGCTAGCTTATTCTATACAGAGAGGCCCACGAGGAGGAGGGGGTCATAGTGAGACCCTTCCTTTATTTAAAATAAATAATATACATAAATAAGTATAGATAGACAGATGAACAGACCTCAAGGTCCTTGTGCTCAGGCAACTGTTTTACTTCTGAGTTACATTCCCAGCACAAAAAACAGCCATCTCGGGGCTGGAGAGATGGGTCAGCAAATTAAAAACACTGACTGTCTTCCAGAGGTCCTGAGTTCAATTCCCAGCAGCTACATAGCAGCTCACACCAATCTGTAACTTCTGACACCCTCACACAGACATTCATGCTGGTAAAACACCAATGATCATAAAATTTAAAAACAAAACAAAACAAAAAAACGACAAAAGAATTGAGCCATCTTTTTTCCTTTTCTTCTTTTTTTAAATACCTGAGATGGTCTCCTACAGTCAGTCCATGCTTACCTCATACTCACTGTGTAGATTAAGGATGACCTTGAACACCTGATCCAACTGTCTCCACCTCCTGAGGGCTTAGATCATAGGTATATGCCCTCATACCTATCAGGGTTTCTATATTCTGGGGATTGAGTCCAGGACTTCCATGCATGCTAGACAAGTGTTCTCTCAAGTTATATCTCCAGCACTAAGAATTCATTCTTGGCCAGATGTGGTGGTGCACACCTTTAATTCCAGCACTCAGGGAGGCAGAGGCAGGCAGATCTCTTTAAATTGGGTCATGGACCTCCCTAAAATTGAATATAAAAAGATGTTTCTAAAAAAAAAAAAAAAAAAAAAAAAAATTTTTTAAAAAAAAAAAAAAAAAAAAAAAAGATGTTTCTAGAGAAAGAAGTCTAGATGAAGAAATCTGAACTGAGTACTGAGTATGATGGCCCAGGGTTGTAACCCTGGCACTCAAGGAGCTGAGGAAAGAGTAAAGCTACAAGTTTGAGGCCAGCCTAGGCTACAGAGTGAGATCTGTCTTAACGTATACCAGCCAGGTGATGATGGTAGCACACACTTTTAATCTGAGCATTTGGGAGGCAGAGGCAGAGGCAGGTGTATCTCTGTGAGATCGAGGCCATCCTGGTCTACAAAGTGAGTTCCAGGACAGCCAGGGCTACACAGAGAAACCTTGTCTTGAAAAACAAAAAGCAAAAAAAGAAAGCATACTAATATATGTGGTGGACCATGGAGCCCAGCTTCAGTGCCAGGCAGTGTGTTGAAAAGTAAAGCCTGTGTAATCTTCTGTGGCGTTTTCTCATAGAGGGTTAAGAATATTTGACACCTGTGAATCTCCTACGCTGCAGGCTCACGGGATGGTTCTATGGGACTCTGGGAGGTGACAGATGATGTATTGACCAAAAGTGATGCAAGGCATAATGTGTCACCAGTCCCCGTGTACGCTCATATCACTCACAAGGCCTTAAAGGATATCCCCAAGGAAGATACAAACCCAGACAACTGCAAGGTGCGGGCGTTAGCCTTCAACAACAAAAACAAGGTATGGCTTTATTTCGGGGGATCCTCTCTCCTCCAAGGCACTGCCAGCTGTGTGATGTGGCTTTAAACTCACAGGGCACCCTCTTTAGAGGCCGTGAATGCTGGTGAGAAATTATAATGGGCTGTGAAGCTCGGGCTTAGGCTCTGCTGTGTTTGTTTGGATAGACCATGTTTGTGGCTGGTTCAGTTTCCCTGAGAGCACTCTAATCTGACAGTGCCTCACTTGCTTGTGCCTTTTTAGGTGCTCTGCTTTGGATTTGATTTTCACGCCTCTAAAAGCCAATCACTTGTTTGTAAGCCCCTCATTTTTTCACCGCTTCCTTTGTCTCACACTTGCCACTAGTGTCGCTTAAATCACTGTGCCAGGTCTTCTGACAGTGAGGTTGTAACAGGACCTAAGACTAGACCCAGAGCCCAGAAAGGAGACAGGCTTCTGCAAAATCTGAAAAAGGTCCCAATTTGATTCATTTTTAAAAATATTTATGTGTTGTGAGTGTTTTGTCTGCATATGTGCATGGGTGTGTATACCACATGCACAAGGCCCTGATTTGAAAGGTGGTTCCACTAGAAGAAATTCAGAACAAGGCAACCCAATCACAAAAAGACAAACATGATATGTACTCACTCATA